AATTTTCATTTCATCTTTCTGATGATTCCGCGTATTGTTTTAAACCTTTTGCACTCGAACTTTTTCTCGGCTGAAGCTTTCAGCAGCTCGGACTTTTTGCCTTTGTCTGGCAGCCTGTGTAATGTATCAGTTATTTGAAGGCAAAAATTGTATGTAAAATTAAAATGGCAACTATACTTTTAAAGCTGTTTTATCATTGTCATAATATGAACGAATATTTGAGTTATATATTATTTGTAATTTTCGAGGGTATGATACCGTTTGAAGCAATTATTGAATGCAAGATTTTCACTGTAGATAACGTTATTTAGAATTTGTGATACGTTCCCTTCACTGGTAAAGTAATGCCACTATCATCAGAATCATAGCTTAATCGCATCAAACAATCATTTTCTAAATCACTTTCATATTCGTCCATAGTAAATTCATCATCACTGCTGTCTTGAAGCAACACTTTTCCCATTCCATGGTGGATAATAAATTTTTTTGTTTCATCGGTTAAATCAACGATTAAATACTGAAGAAATCAATGACACGTGAAATCACATGCAACTAAAGTTTGACGTTTAGTGCACCATATTGTTGTATGCGTGCCTGAGAGGCGTAAGTTATCGAGTGCAAAAGGTTAAATTTTTCTCTCCCTCTCTCTCTTTTTTTTGACTGACAAAACAGTCCAGAGAAACAGTAGATTATTCACGCGTCGCGCGCTGTTGTTTTCTTCGTTGGAGGCCAACCAACTTGACAATACAAGAACCTTCCTGCCACGTTTCTTCTACGTGTTTCGTTACTTGCATCGAAACGCGCAAAGCACACAACGGCGAGTGGAAAAATGGTAATGTTAGAGTGACGTGTGATTGGCGGAGAAAATGGAACGACGCGAGCAGCGTGCAAGTTCGCAAGACGTTATCCAGCACGAAACGATGCTGGGCAAATCGATCGGGCACGAGTTCACGAGCGCCGCGATGTCTGGCCGGCGTCAGGGCCCGTTCACGGACACGTAATAACAATTACATCGTCGTGACAAGGCGGGAAAGATCGAGGTCATCGGTAGACAGGGAACGACGGTCCTTGGAAGCGTCGATCGGAACACGGTTCGTGTTCGCTCGTGATCGATCGAGAACGACCGTGGTGCCCCCCCCCCTCTCTTCTCTCTGACCGTTCACTGCGGTCGTCGATCGTTGATGATCGCTAATCGACGCGTTATCGTCGTCGAAAACCCGGTCGACGAACACGGCCTTCTTTCGATCTTACGAACTGCAACAGTCCCGTTTAACAAGTTTAGTCAATCTTCACTAGAATGGCTTAATAACTATATCCTCCATTTGACCATATAATGAATGAAATTCCAATCTTGTTCATCGATAAAATTAAAAATATTTTCAATACTTAATTTAATTTAATTGTGGCGGAATAGTGCTTTGAATTTAAGATTCAAGAATAAAATTTGAATTTTTGTTAAAAACTTCAACATGAAATATATATATTTTTCAAGATTCAAACTCGTTCTATTCAGATAGTTTAATTTCATTTCATAACTTTGTAATAATATTTATTGTTATAATTACCTCATTGACACTATTTTTTATTATTGATTTTATAACTAATAGCTACTTACTGGAAAATCATACAGATGTTGAGATTGTATGAACCATTATACCTATAATAATTCTTTTAACTATTTGCTATCCATCTCTAAAAATTCTACACTTTATTGATGAAATAATAAATCCTTATTTTTCAATTAAAGCTATTGGACATCAGTGATACTGATCTTATGAATACCCTGAATTCAGTAACTATGAAATTAACTGTTATATAAAAGATCGGTTAGATATTGATAGATTTCGTCTTTTAGAAACTGACAACCGACTAATTATTCCATTTAACATTTCATTGCGACGTAAACGAATCACTAAAGACCGTAATTAATTTGCCGGATCGGTATCTGTTTCGTAGGTGTGCTGACTCTCGATATCTTGCCGCTGGTATCCGTCTCTAATCGAATAGATTTTCCAAACGATGATAGCCCCGAGTCTTGAAGTGCGCGGTAAACGTATCTTATTTGCACTCGTTAATCTTCTCTCGTCTCTTCTCGAGTTTCCGTTCGGAGCATTCACGAGCGTTCGGAGCACGTGCAAGAACGATCCTCGTTGCTCTTATTTTCGGAAATTTAGTGGTAGTATAGCCGGCGATCAAACGATCGCCAGCACGTGTTTCATTCAGTCGGAACAATTTCACAAAGTACACGCTCAACGCGTCCGCGAGTATCGAAATTGTATTTCGTTTCGTAATGATACGGTTGGAATCACGAAACATGAAGGGAAGAGAATCGAAAGCTGCACGGCGGCTATCATCTCGCCGCGTTCCCATAGATAAGTCGTCAATGTCCAC